ATAGTTATGGGTAACGGTTTTTCCCACACTGGTGGTCTTGTTTTCATTGTTCGTTGTCCATTGTCCATTGTATCTACTTATTTTCTGCGTATTTCGACACTGATTAAAATTAAAAACGATTAAAATTAATTTAAATTTGGCGGACTAAAATTAATCATACATAGTGACATCTACTGGCTATCAAGCTCAGGACATCACAGGCCTTAAGTGGATAAGGCCCCTCTCCCAACTTTCACTAACGAAGATCGGGAGCTCCGTGAGCCCGTTGAGCACAGGTTGCCGACCGCTGCTTTAGTCCTATGTTTGATATATTGCAATTGTCACAAAAAAAAAGAACAAATGCCTCTTTAACGAGTTATTGAAGCTTCAACACCCAAGATTATATTTCAATTGAACTTCGAGCGATCTTGCCTTCAATTACTATTTATTTACAATTTATCATCGCGGAGAACCAGAGATTTGATTTTTGCATCGATCCTGAGATTCTAAAAAAATTCTTATTGATTCTTCGAGTGCATCCGAAGCTTTGTAATCGGTCAGAAGGAACGGGGGATTATTCAGAACCCGAGAGTTTCGACTGCAAAACCAATTTTTAAAAGAGGCTATTTTTTGGTTAATTTTTCCTGAGAATTTTCCAAGTGATGACCTGCCCACCGGCAGGAAATCGATTTTAATGGTTTCATTTTTTTCCAAATGTCCCTTGAACCCCCAAGATTGTATTTAAGCTCAAATTTGAGAGATCTCGCCTTCAGTTACTATTTATTGACAATTTTCAGTTGAGATTCTACGTATGGACAATGTAACTAATTGGTCTGTGTTTCATTTTAATATAAATTGGAATACAATAAACATACCTGAATTACTGATGGAGGCAAGACGCCACTGATCGTCTAAAGGGAATCGAAAGAGCTTTCCGGCTGCAGTGTCTCTCGATGTTACTTCGCAATTTACATACGCGCACTTATCACGTTTGCGCACCTCACTTGCCATTTTTCACCGAAAAACTACGATATTTTTTTTTTAACGATAAACACTGAAAACTGCCGTCGGAGACAAATAAGTGTAGTAGCTCTGCTGACAAACAGAACTGAATGGATCATTTTGTTAGGCGACGAGGCATTATTGACATTTTTTTTCTCGGTTGTCTCGATTATTCGTTTCTTGGCTTTCAAACGTTCATCCAAACAAAATCCAACCGATTTCTAGAAGAACGAACGCGGACACTTTCCTTCGAAATATTGAAAAAATTATTTTTCAAAAACGTTTTCAATGGACAACGAAAATTTAAAAATATATGAATAACAGTCAATGTAAAACGCTTTCCAACTACAATTTCAAATGACTCTCAATCGAATCCCGGAAAAAACATCCCCGGAAAAAATATCCCGGAAAAAAAATTCCGGAAAAAATATCCCCGGAAAAAATAGCCTCGGAAAAAAAATCCCGGAAAAAATCTCCCCGGAAAAAAAATCCCTGGAAAAAATATCTCCGGAAAAATTATCCCCAAGAAAAATTCTAATATTTAATTCCTAATAATAAATATTCAAAAATTATAATTTTAATAATTTAGTTAATAAAAATTATTTAATACAAAGGATAAAAGGGAAGCGGGTGAATCACAAAATGCATTTTAGAAAAAAATTTCTTTATTTATTATGACATATAAAAGGGTTAAGGGTTCGCTTCCCCACGAAATTAAAATCATCTTTTTTTTTCTCAAATTTTCATTTAATGTGTTGTGTGGGGAGTGGGAGAGGGTTTCGTCCCCCCAGACCCCCCGCTGGGGCTTCGCCCCTGGTGAAATGAAATGATAATTGGGGGGATATTTTTTCCGGGGATATTTTTTCCCGGGATATTTTTTTCGGGGATATTTTTTCCGGGATTTTTTTTCCGGGATATTTTTTCCGCCACCCCTCTGAATCATCTACGAATAAATTGGTAAAAGAGTTTTCCTTTTTTTTTATGTTTTATTTCTTAATGTTTCGAGGGAACAATAAATATGAACGGCATAAATTATTCGCAGTTGGTTGAGCATAATTTTGCGAGACATTTTTTCGCCAATTTGTTTAACAATATTTCGAATTTCTTACGAAAAAAGGTATCGTTGGAAAAAAAAGGTTCCAAGGGACGAATAAATCTCAATGTTTCAGCTGATTCTCAATCGTTCAAATATGCATTCGCTATACATTTTTTCGCCAATTTGTTTAATAATTTTTTAATTTGTTAACAAAAAAAGAACCATTTCCAAAAAAAGCTTCCAAGTAACCAGAAAATGTCGCCGTTTCAGCTGATCCTCAACCGTTTGAGTATGCATTTGCGAGACATTTTTTCCACCAACTTGTCTAATAATTTTTGAATTTGTGAACAAAAATGGAACCGTTTCAAAAAAGAAGGTTCCGCGGGACCCGAAAATCTCAGCGTTTGAGTTGATTCTCAATCGTTTGAATATACATTTTTGAGAGTATTTTTTCTCAATTTTTTAAACCAATGGCGTATTTATGAACATGAACTCGTTTTTTCATTCCGCGCATCGGTTGTGCCTTGATGACTCCGCTTCATATTGGATGTTTTCATTCGTTTTCGGACGGCATCGTTATTCGGATAAGTACCCTACCTTAGTGACACGCACGACCTCCTCGAATTATCGACGTTCTCGGGCTCGCGCTCTGTCTTATATATACTCACGGGCTCTGAAAACTATCGACACTCACGGACTCTCGACCTGTTTTACCTACAGGTACGGGCCCTCGACCTGTTTTACTTACTGGTACGGGCTCTGACCCTGTTGAAGGTTTTTCCTATAATCCCCTATAACTCCCTATAATCTGTGTTAGCAACTATAGATCACTAGCAGAAATTATAGATCCGGGGTGTGTTCCGCCAGGGAACAGTACAAGTCCAGTAATAGTGTTTCCTAGTGCATTTTAGATTTGGTAACTAGCGGTTGGTACTGTTACTGGAGTTGTGTTTCACACGGCTAGTAACAGTAACAAGTGATGTCACTAACTAATAAACAGTGTTCAACGCTGAAGTCTTCCGTTAGGGCCCGGATGGAGG